AGTGGGTGTCTGCGGCATCTTGGGGCTCTCGCCAAGCCGTTCGGCCGCCCTCCTGACCGATTTGGGCCCGTTGGCGGGGCTCAGCAGGGGGGTCCAGGAGCCCCGGAAAGTCCTGAGGACCTTCTGCAAGGGCGTCCAGGGGGTCCCCAGGCCACGGATCCAGGGGGTCCCGTTTTGGAGGGGTGCGGTGGGGAACGCGCTTTCCCCCCCTCCCGGGTTATTGAAAATAGAAAGACAGGACTGGCCGCAGAACGTTCACAGAAGCAGACGGCAAACAGACATTTACACAAAGGCTTCAATTATTTGGAGTATCTCCAGGCTGCCCGCTGTCACCGTTCTTGTTCATCATGTTGATGCGCGGCACCGAGCGCCGAGCAGATGCTGGAGTACAAGAGGCGTTGCGAGCAGAAGCCGTCGGCTGAATTGTTATACGCTGGAGACACGCTGCTGATGGGCACGACCAGCTTCATGTGCAATCGCCCTTCGATGAACTAGCGGTTGAGGGTGCACGTGTCGGAATTGTACCACATTGGGACAGGATTCGATTCATGCATGTACGCTGCAGAATGAATCTTACCACGCCGCAAGGGCACAAATCCCAGAAAAGGACTCAATGCTGTATCTTGGAGCAACAATTTCGAGCTCAGGCCCGCTGTCTGGAGAATTGAATAAACCATTGGGGGCTGCGCGAGGTGAATGTTGCAAACACAGACGCGCATGAAAGCACACAGCAATTGCGATAGCCCGTAAGCTCCAAGTGTTCCAAGCTTTTGTCGCGAGCAAGGCAATGTATTCCTTGAACTCGACCTGGCTGAACAAGGCAGAGCGTCGTCAATTACACGGTTTGCAAGCCGGGAACCGTCGCGGCATCTTGCACATCGTACCTGCGTACGCTTCAAGAATATGTAATCGATAAGTGTTGCTGAGAGCATAACAACTTGCACACCAAGCAGATTTTGAAATACCAGCTTCTGCGGTCAGGGAAAATCGGTAGGACTAGCAGTGAGGCGCCTGACATTTCAGCACGGAAGCCTGCGACCAGCTACGGACACTTGGGCCTGGGATGTAGGGCGGCCGAGGAGTGCATAGGCGGAGTGCCTACTGAGCATAATTTGCCCACCCTTCGCTGCCAAAGAGACCGCGTCGCAAAGCGTTCGCGACCCCTCTGCCTGGTGAAGCCGTGTGGCTGAGTTTGGTTTGTCCCCTCCTTCTTCCGCTCCTCCTACCACGCACGATAGAAATTAAGCAGCCGCGGGCGTGCCGCTTTTCCCGCGAAACGGTGAGATCCGGAGGGCAGTGCATTCCTTCGCCCATGCGCTCCTGCAGATGGCACGAGTGAGCGAGTGAGTGACGAGACCAGCAGAGACGAGACGATAGACGTAAGAAGAACGTGGGGATGGAGGCAGAGAACAGGGGCGACAACAGGACGAGAGGGTCTTGAAGACAGTTGGAGGCACGTGTCGCGTCAAGTGGCGCATGTCACGTTACCACGCCACGTCTCCATACAGCAAGCAAGGGCTAGAGCATCGGGCGCCAGCCGCGCAGTTTTTTCGAGCTTGTAGCAGTAACAAAGATAGAAGGAGATCGTGTTCAATATTGATCCCTCGCGCGAGCACTTACAAACTTGCAACAGATAGATGGATGGACAACTGTTCCTTTTCAAACTAGGGCTCTCGCTTTCGCGTCGCGCACACTCGTCTTGAAACCTTGCAACGGCTACAAGCGTAGGGGATGTACTCTTCAAAATGAAGATCTCGCCTCAGTGCCGCGCACGATAAACTTAAAAGCTTGCAGCCGCCAGAGGCATGCAAGACGTATCCTTTGTTCAAAGGGAGGCTCTCGCTTCAGACTTCCCTGAACCTCAAGCCGCCCGAGAAATAAATGTATGTAACAGCTGTCAGGATGGAGGGCGCTTCCTTTTCAAATGAGGCTCTCCATTTGGGCTTTCCTCGAAATACATGACCAAAAATGTACACATATTGGGGACAACCCTTTTTCAAAACGGAAATGCCGATGGACACCTCGTTGACCTGTATGACCATATCTTGCGTACCCCCTCTTGTACGCAAAGCGGATGATGCAAGACAGCTCCATTCAAAACGGGGCTCCCACCCGAACAGCAGGCCCAAAGGGTGTTGGTATTTCAAAGGGCGCTCCTTGCAGTAAAATGGAAAGCCTGTAGAGAATTACGAGAAGGGGCCTTGGGACAGGAGGGTGTATTGAAGCATCGCTGAAGCATCTTAGGGTTACTTTGGTGGTCGCCCTTCTCCTCCTCCTCCTCATCATAATCCTGATCATCATCAGCAGCAGCATCGTCATCGCCATCATCATAATCATCATAACCTGCATCGTCATCATCATCACCATGATCACAAACACCATCACCATCACCATAAACATTTTCATCGTCATCAGCGTCATCATCAGCAGCAGCAGCATCATCAGAATCATCATCAACATCAGCAGCATCAGCATCGTTATCCTCAACCGCATCCGCATCCGCATGCGCATCCGCATTCCTCTTCTGGTCCTCCATTCCTTGTCCTTATGAATAACTCCTCCCTGTCGCACCCCGAAGCCAGTCGAAGGGCGGGCTGGGCGTTTCGCCTGAGACCTCCACGCCATGTGTGAGACTAAAGCTTGAGAACTGACAAAAACATGTCACAAATGGAGGGCGGGTCGCTTCCAAACTGTGGCTCTCGCCCTGACGCAGCGCACACTCGTCTTAAACATGTGCAAGAGCTTCACGGATTGAGGGCGGGTGGCTTTCAAAATGTGGTTCTCGCCTTAGCGCCGCGCACCTTCGTGTTGCAGGATTGCAAGAGTTTCGCGGATTGATGGCAGGTGGCTTTCAAATGTGGCTCTCGCCTGAGAGCCGCGCACATTCGCTGTAAGAATTCAAGATATTCACGGATTGAGGGCGAGCGTCTTCAAAATGCGGCTCTCGTTTTGGCGCCACGCACATTCGTTTCAAAAAACTCGCGAGGGCTTCACGGATTGACGGTTCCTTTTCACAATGTGACTCTCGCCATAGCGCCGCGCACAATCATTTCAAAAAATTGCAAAGCGTTTCACTGGTTCTCATGGTTAACGAGCCAGAAACGGTGTTTTGGAGCGATTCATGACTGTCAGGGCACAACGGTGACAATGACTCGCGGTGTTGCAGTTCCAGGATTGGTGGTCTGGCACGATTCAGGATCCTCAAAACTTAACAATCTCGTTGACTCGTGGCGTTGCAATCCTGAGAATGGCGTTTGGGCACGCTTCAGTATTTTCACCCGGTTGTCCCCCCACAGGGCACTTCCCTCTGGGAATGAACCCGTTGTAGGGGCCTGTAAAGAGAGAGCTTGAGGGAGGCTGTATTCCAACAACGAAGATGCATCTTGGGTTTACTGAAGGGGAACTGGGACACACAAATAAATGCACACAAATAAAACTATTCCCCATATTTTCCCATATTTTCTGGGTTCTTGTCTTCCCCCCACTTCCTATATTTTCCCACATTTCCCGGGAATCGCCGATTAATTGTGTCTGTGTGTTTTCTTCTCTCCTGATTTACACTGGTTCCCATCCTCATCCCCATCATATTCCCCCTGCCTCCAGCCGACTCCTTCTGCTCCAGAGCTGCGACCCGAGGAGCCCCCGCGACTCTGCCAGCCCTCCTCCTCCTCCCGATTTTTCCTGATGGCATGATGGTGCTCCGCAAAGCTCTCCTCCTCCTCCTCCTCCTCCTCCTCCTTATCCTCCTCCTCCTCCTCATCCTCCTCCTCTTCCTCCTCCTCCTCCTGCTCGTCCTCCTCCGCCCCAACCGCGGGATGGCCGAGAGCACGGGCCTGGGAGCCGCCGATCTGGTCCCCGAACCACCAGCCGGAGAAGTCGGCGCCGTCGCGGGCGTCCCAGAAGTAGAGGAAGACGTTGACCCCGGGGTGCCCAGGGATCGCCTGCGGCAGCGGCCACGGCAGCGGCCCGCGGCCACGACCGCGGGCGCCGCCCGCCGCGGGGGCTCGCCGCCGGGCGAGGGGAGCCCACTCGGCCGCTTGGTGGCTGGGCCCGCTCGGCGGCCGGTCAGCCGAGGGGGGGGGCACGGGACGGCAGGGGGGTCGTCGTCGGACACAGTGGCACGGCCAGTTCGCGCGCTCGGAGTCGACACCGGGTGGCCCCCGGGAGCCGGGGCGAGCGGGAGAACGGAAGAGGAGCCGGGCGAGGGCGCCCGGGAAGAGAGGCCAGTGGTGCCTGGATGGGGCTGGGCAGAGCGAGCTGCGGCAGGACGGTGGAGTATAGGGAGGAAGGGGGAGGACGAGGAAGAGGATGTAGGCCGAGGGGCAAGGGCGAGAGCACGGGGTGGAAAGGGGGAGGGCCAGAGGGGGAGGAGGTGGGAAGAGAGGGGAGGACGGCAGGGGAGGGGAGAAGAGAGGAGAGGAGAGAAGAGGAGAGGAGAGAAAAGAGAAAAGAGGGAAGAGGAAAGAGGAAAGAGAAAAGAGGAAAGAGGAAAGAGGAGAGGAAAGAGTAGAGGAAAGAGAAGAGGAGAGGAGAGGAGAGCAAAAAAAAAAAAAGGCAGGGGAGGGAAAGGAAGGGGAAGGGAGAGGAGAGGCGGGAAGTACGGAGGTGGCGCCTCGCTTTTCTTGTACGTCTTCCGCCCGTGGTTCGTACCCTGCTCCGTGTAGGTGCCTAACAGGATCTGCACTTCCGCGCCCTGGGGCAGATCAGAATACAGCAGCGAGAAACCCAAAAGCGCCTCATGCCGCTGGGAGCATGGTATCCTCTTCCCTCCTCCTCCTCCTCCTCCTCCTCCTCCTCCTCCTCCTCCTCCTCCTCCTCCTCCCTTCCACCTCCTCATTCTGGGCTCCCGAAACTGAATTATATGATCGGCATTCCCTTAGGGGTCCCTTATGTGAACCGCTGTGCTTCTGGACTCCCTTCCCTCCTCCTCCTCCTCCTCCTCCTCCAACACCACCTCCTCCTCCTCCTCATCCTACTCCTCCTATTCCTTCGCCTCCTCC